CAGCAGTTCGAAACTACCAGCTGCTCCGTGGGAGAAAGATGAGGCTTTCTGCTCCCATAAAGATTTACAGCCTCAGAAACCCTGTACAGCATCGCTATGGGTCGGAACCGACACCACGGCACTTAACAACAATAGACTTCATACATATCCCAAGAAGACAATTTATACACCCTTCTCATTCATATATGTTCTTAAATTCTTATAGTGAAATTATAAAAACCAACAATGTAACAAAATCTTCCAAGCCCATCATGTAAAACAAACCATTATTAACACTATAATTTCTTTCAAAACCTTGTTTTAGAACAAAACTAAATTTTTACTGAAAGAGTTGATACCCTTCTGTATTCCATCCAAATCCCATCTTTCCTCCCTGAAGAAACTTTTACTATGAATCATGTATCTACCTTTCCTACCTATGCTTTGATACTTTTAATAAATATACATGAAATTATAATCAATATATGGTATTGTTATATGTGCTGTTGAGTAGGTTCCAACTCAGAGTGACCCTATATAGGGTTTCCAAGGCAGGACTGGTGAATTTGAACAGTCTAGTACCTTACCCACAGCATCACACCAGGACTCCATAATCAATATATAGTATGGTTTTATGTGATTTAAACCTTCCAAAAATAGTGTGCCACTATAATTATCTTTCTTTAATTTGAAAACCTGAGATTATGCTAATTACTTTATTTTTTGATATACCTAGAGAGCTAGATAATTTAATTGATATACAGTACTTTCATTTTCTATCACATTTCATTTATCCATTCACATGTATTGACAGTCATTTCAGCTTTTGGTATACACGCATTTTATACATCTAAGAGCATTGTGCCTTAGTTCTCTCCACCCACCGCATGTTTATCTTAAAGTGGTATCTCTCAGTACCTATTATATGAATACTTAAAGTTTCCTAGAATTTGTTATGCTATTTATTATCAAGCTGAATTATACTCTTCACTGTGGTTGATAATGCCATCCTTTGGATATCTTTCAAACTCTTGAAATTGTCAGATAGTAGATTTTTGCTAATGGGATACGTATGAAATGGTTTTCCAAAGTTATCTTTATCTACTTTTTTTCCCCTGAAGAATAGTGAGGTTAATCATCTGCTTATATTTTGGTTTCCTCTTTAAATTACCTTTCTTGGGGCCAATTTCTCTTAGAGATTATCAAACATATTTTTAACTTAGTTATCAAAATTCTCTGTGTGTTCTGGATACTTAATTACCCCTTGTCTAACAAATACATTACAAATACCTTCTAAGCTCTGTCATTTAGTTATGTTGTCTTTTTTCACATATGTTTTAGGATCCTGTTCTAGTAATATAAAATTTTAATGTTTTATATTTAGTTCTTTAGGGTGGTGAGAAATTATTTTTGTATGTGTTGTGATGTAAGGATCTAATTTTATTTTTTTTCACACAAAAATCCAATTATGTGGTTCTTCAAAAGATTACACAGAGAACTACCCATATGACCCCAAAGTCCTGCTGTGGCTCCATAGGATAAGCATTTGACCAGTCTGAATTGCAAGGTCAGTGATTCAAACTAACCAGTTGGTCTTCAGAAAGCATATACAGGGTCACCATGAGTTGGAACCAACTTGAAGGCACTTAACAACAACAACAAATATGTATATACCTATAATAAAACAATAAAAATCCAATGATTAAATCTATGTCTTTTCCTACTGATTTATACATTGGTACTTCTGCTAATCAAAAGGCTGGTAGTTGAAACCCACCAATCACTCCTTGGAAACCCTATACTGGGCCACTATGAGTCAGAACAACGTCACATACCAACACTTAACAACAACATCATATACCAAGTCCTGCTATGTGGTATATTTTTAGCCTCTCTATGTCCACTGAATAGAACTGAATATCCCAATAACACATTCTTTTAGGCAAAAATTTTGTTGTTTGGTGCATTTGAGTCGGTATTGACACACTGCTCAGTGCTCGTCAACCTCACAATCATTGCTACACTTGAGCTCACTGCTACTGACACTGTACCAATCCATTTCATTGGGGATCTTCCTCTTTTTCACTGATCTTTCTCTTCCAGGGATGATGTCCTTCTCCAGGGACTGGTCCATCCTGATGATATGTCCAAAGTATGAGAGACGAAGTCTGGCCATCCTGGCTTCCAAAGAACATTTTGGCTGTACTTCTACCAACACAGATTGGTTTGTTCTTTTGGCAGTCCATAGAACTTTTAATATTCTCGTACATCACCATAACTTAAATGCATCAATTATCCTACAGTCTTTTTTATTTTTTATTCACTGTCCAACTTTGACATGCATATGAGGTTACTGAAATACCATGGCTTGGGTTAGGTGCACCTTAATCCTTAACTGACATCTTTGCTCCTGAACACTGTAAAAGGTCTTGTGTAGCACATCTGCCTAGTGATGTATGTCGCTTGATTTCTTGACTGCTGCTTCCATGAGAGTTGATGGTTGATCCAAAAAAATTAAGTCTTTGACAACTTCAATCTTTTCTCCATTATCTTGATGTTATTTCCTGGTCCAGTGGTGACAATTTTTGTTTTTACATTGAGGTGCAACCCATACTGAAGACAGTAAGTATTTTAAGTCCTCTTCATTTTTAGCAAGCAAGGTTATATCATCTGCATATCACAGGCTGTTAAGTCTTCCTCCAATCCTGATGCCATGTTCTTCTTCTTCTTATAATCCAGCTTCTCAGATTATTTTCTCAGCATACAGAATATGACCATGAATAAGCATGGTCAAATAATACAACCCTGGTGCATACCTTTCCTAATTTTAAACTGTTCAGTGTTTCATTTTTCTGTTCAAATGACTGCCTCTTGGTCTATGCACAGGTTCCTCATAAGCACAATTAAGTGTTTTGGAATACTCATTCTCTGCAATGTCCATAGCTTGTCAGAACAACAAAACTGAAAGCCTTTTGTAATCAAGAAAGCACAGGTAAACATCTTCATAGTATTCTCTGCTACCATCCTTGCAAAAGAAGTCAACTCCTGCAAAAGTGTCAACCAAGATCGTACCGCGTGCAGCTTTTGTAAATATTACCCAATCAGAAATACCCAAACACATGCTCTATTTGCAGTTTTCATTAACTTCTGTAAATTTTCAGTTCCTCAAGCACCTTTTCAAAAGCTTCTTGGCTCTGTGTTTCCTCATTTTGCAAATCATTCTTTTGCCATAATAAACCCTTTGTTTTTAATTTTAAACAAACTTGTGAAGTCTAATTTTCATACGGCATGGTTTGTAATTCTGTTTTCTTTTGTTAAGTAGTTCTTTTTTGAGTTTTTCTTTGCCAAACACCAAGAGCCTAATGGTTAACTACATTAAATCTCTTGCAGCTAGCATATACAATTTTTCATTTAGGTCTATTATATTTTCCTTAGTATATCTAAAAGCCCCGGTGTCAAGCTATAAGATAAGCACTGGAGTAGTAACCATGTGGTCAGCAATTCCAACTCATCAGCCATTCTTAGAAAAGTACTGGATTGGTATGAGTCAGAACTGACTCAGTGGCACTTAACAAATGTTTTTAAAGAAGATTTATAATATACAGTAAAACCTGCAAAAGACAGAACCTGTGTAAAGTGTAACCATGTCAGACAAGGAAGACTCAAAACTAAAATGAGGTAGGATACTTAACAGAGTGACAGAAAAATGGCAAGACCCACCCTCACACTGTAAAAGGCAGAAAACTTGTGAGACGTGGAAAAACAAGGCAGTCTCATCAAGTTCTCTCACAGGTTATGCTGTAGTAATTTAATCCTAATTTTAAAGGTACAGAGAATTTTACTTACAGATGAAATTGTAGCATCTTTTTCTGTAAGCTCCTGTTTGTGTCGGGCCATCATTTCTTTGATCTCCAGTTCTTTCATGATTTTCTCTTTTTCCAAATCAGAATATTGTTCTTCAGCAATTGAACGAGCCAGCTGCTCAGAATCTGCTTTGGTCAAGGTGATCTCCAGTTGGGCAGCTAAAGAGTCCCTATATTTTAGAGATATTTCATTTTCAATTTTCACTGTGAAGCCAAAGTTTGCATCTAATTCACTTCATCAATAATTTTTTATTTGATGTGTACCAAGAGCTGTTCAAGGAGCAGAGTCTACATACAGTAGCTATCAGCAAAAATATCCAAGGTATTGTCCTACCTTTCATCCTGGAATTCTTGTTTCTTCTGCTGTAATTCTTTACAAAGTTTTGTCTTTTCTTCACATTCTTCTTTAAGTTCCCTAACCTGTGTTTTGTAGAGTGTCTAAATGGAAAAATGTAATAGAAATATATTGTATTATCATATCCATAAATATTATTTCTACATTAAAAATTTATCCAGATAAAACTTCAAGTTGTAAACACATACAAATATTTCCTTAATGTTGAGCTCCTCAGCCAATTATTTTTTTTAAATGAGCCTTTCTTTGTTCTAATAATCAAGTGACCAACTAATCTAAGCATAAAAGTTCAGTTAATAATTTAGAAGAGTGATTGTCAACTATACATCACAGTGAGGTTTCTGACTGAATAACACAGATTTTAAGATAGATGAAGAGGCAAGGAAACATATTATTAATTTATATGAGAAATTGTTGAGAATTAGCCCCTATTTTAAAACCAATTTAAAATATAAATTCTAAAATGCTAATTTTACCATAATTTTTATTTCATTGTGAAAATATATTCTTTATCAATAAAAAGTGCTCTAATTAGCTTCACCAGGAATGGGTATGTGTTTAAAGTATTTTTTTCTAGCAATAATAATGAATTTCTATTAAACATTCTTTTTCCTTATTGCTCTTTTATGAGGTGTGTGATATAAAACATATCACCCAAAACTCTGGGTTTTACCAATAAGAATCTTTTCTAAGGACAACAGTATATGGCTCAACATTTTTCCTCCATTTATTTTAAGTTAAATAACAAGAAATATTCTTGGGAAAAAATTTAAAAAGGTAGCTATTTACTTGGAGCTTTTAGTATGGAAGAAGATTTGAAAATAATTGTTCATGGGTTGGTAGTCTTTGCGCAGAGGTTTTTGGAAAACACTTTAGAAAGCCTCAGAGTTCACAAAAGATAAATTGAGAAGCACATCAAAATGACCTAACAAGTTATTTGTTTTCTTCTTTAAAAAAAAAAAAGAGTAAACAAGCTCTCTGGCTTTAGTCTCAGAGATTCCAATTTACTAATGATAACTGTAGGCCTAAGAATATAACTTTTTAAAAAATAAAGCACACCTTCCTCCTAACCTGTCATTTAACTGTGATGCATAATACCGGCTAAGACTAATTCTCCATATTCTACATCAAGAATGAAAAATAATTCTACAAATACAGCAATTTCCAAATTAATGTGTCTGGAACTTACTGAAAAATACTGCTCAGCTTCAAGCTGATCTTGGAGCTCTTTCATTTGCCCATCTGCATCTTGTCTTTCTCTGGGAGGATATTAAATAAATAGATTTAAGTTATTAACTGCTGTTGTCATATTGGTTCCTACTCAAAGTGACCCTTATTAGGGATTCCAAAGAGTAGTTGGTGAGTTTAAACCACCAACCTTGGGGTTAGCAGTCCAGTGCTTATTCTACAATGCCACACCAGGATGTAAGTTATACACGTATTAAGCCAGCAATCTCAAAGTGTGGTCTGAGAAAGCCCTGGAGCCCCTGAGACTCTCAGAGCATTCATGAGATCACATTATTTTCATAATCATACTACGACATCATTTCATCTTTTCCGCTCTCATTCCCATACTAGTGCATATGAACTTTTCCTAAGGCTCTAAGACTTGCAATGATGTCATTTAAAGCATCAAGCAATTAATAAATAAAGCAAATAAAATATGTGCTTATGTATGTGTTTTTGTTTTAAACATTTCGCAGTTTTACTTTCGAACACAACAAACACCAACAGATATGACTGATGAACACAACTCTTCAGAGTCCTTGATAATATTAAAGAGAAAGAGGTCCTGAGACCAAAAGGTGGTATATTTAGCCAACAACTTTGAAACACAAATTCCTATACATGCAGTGTATAAATGGCTACATTTATGCCAATCAAGAGTAGAATTAGAAGAGAACCCCAAATGCAATAATCTTAAAGTGAGCAAAACAAAGGATGGGAAGGGGTATGAGGGAACATGTAAAATATTGATACGTGATATAAAACTGAAAGGTGACTGCACAGATTTATTCACTTTGGAAAAATTAATTGTACTCTATACTTGAACTCTGTATACTTTTTCCGCATGTCATTTTTCAATAAAAACTAAGTAAAAACAAGTATTATGCATTTAAGAGGTTGGATTGATTTTTTTTTTTTTAATTTAAAACTCTACTTATTTCACATCAAAGCTAATGGGAAAAAAATTAAGTTGGAACAACATATGCTGTGTAATACAATTTAAAAAAAATTATAGAAACCCACCCTTTATTTTTCAATACCTTTCTTAAGTGTAGGAAATGAATTTGACTCATTTTTGTATCTCCTAAAATGAGTCTCATAAAAGCTTATATGTAATAACAATACACACACCCAAGCAACATTTATAGAGGTTGTGTGAGACATTAATCAAACGCAGGGAGCAAGCAACGTATGGATAAATGGTTCTTGCCCTTCAATGAGCTTATCATCTATTGAGTGGCTATGTGGGTATCTTTGAGGAGGAGGGATTAAGAAAGGAAGGTTAAGAAAAAAAGAAACATAAGCACTTTTAAAGAAAATAGGAGGCATACATGCTAAATCATATATTATGTACAGACAAAGTACTACTAGAGTAAGGAAGGAAAACAATGTAGATGTTACACTAGCTCTTGCCTTTTGATAAACAGAACAGATACTATGTAAAACTTTCTATCATGTATTTTAAAAACTTTATTTGAAACATGGAATACACCTAATGATATTACATCATATTGGAAGTGCCTTAGGCTTTTGAACAAAACTGGGCCAATAAATTCCATCCCAGGACTAGGGGAATTTTATGAACCTGGGATACAGAAACATCAAATCACAGTCTCTCCACATAAATGAAGATGTAAGATATAAGTACAACTATCAATGCCCACATTTTCTATTAAGTCAGAAATGTTCTATTAAGTAGGAAAAGGTAGTCTAAAATGATAGAAAATAAAGCTAATCTATCCCTCAAAAAAAGATGAATTCCCAATACTAATGACTCAAACTTTAAAAATCGGACCTGCATTTCTTGCCTTTCCTGAAGTTGTGGTTTCTCTAATGTGGTGGTGGTTATGTGCCGTGGAGTCGGTTCCGACTCATAGCGACCTTGTATAGGGTTTCTGAGGCTGTAAATCTTTATGGGATCAGAAAGCATCTTTATCCCATGGAACCACTGTTAATTTCGAACTGCTGACCTTGAGATTAGCAGCGCAATTTGTAACCACTATGCTACCATCCAAAATAATTTTCTGTTATGATGAAAATTTTTCTATCTCCACTTCCAGATATGGAATCTAGCTACATATGCCTACGGAGCCTAAAATTTGGCTAGTGCAACTGAGGAACCGAATTTTTAATTTTAAATATGCACATGTGGCCAATGACTACCATACTGGACAGTGCAGTTTCATAATATCCTTCCAGTATATTTTCTTCATGCTTAAGTTTGAATTGCATTTTTATCACTTGTCTGCTCTACCCACAAAAAAAGCCAATATACTCTGATTATGTGGTTTACGTAAATATCAGATTTCAAGTCCAGCCTCATGAAATTTAGAGAAGCTAGTCTTATCCAAGGGAGCTCTGGTAGCATAGTGGTTGCGAATTGGGCTGCTAACCTAAGGGTTAGTAGTTCGAAACTAACAGCTGTTTCGCGGGAGACAGATGAGGCTTTCTGCTCCCATAAAGATTTATAGCCTTGGAAACCCTGTACAGGGTGCCATGAGTTGGAACCAACTCCACGGCACATAACCACCATTACAACCAGGTTTATCCAAGCAACAGATTTACCAAAAAAAAAAAAAAAAAAAAAA